GCAACAGCTCAGGGTCTTATGGGAGGGAAATCGTATGGTTTGCAACTTTCTCTGAGTGAATTTTAGGCTTCATTCTTCTAATTGAAAGTTACATCCAGAGAAATATTGTTACCAGTACTCAAAGATTCCATGAACATGGTCTATAGTGATACCTCAGCTTTCCCTGACTTAGAGGCCCCTTGGCATTCTTTGCTGTCAATGGATCAGCCTCCTAGGCATCTTGCTGAAAACTGACTCTGCTGAGTGGCACCATTCCTCTTAGCATTCTCACCAAAAGGAAGGAGACCTCCCTTCTCCAGGGAAGCTCCAGGCACTCCAAAGGCCTATGTGAAGGTGAAAACTTCATAATTTATGGCTTCATCATCTCCTCAGCCTGACTTTTGCTGATTCTCCTTGGAAAACACTATGTTTATTTTCTGGACTTGTACAACTAAACAAGAGCAACTGAATGAAATTTCTCCCTAGCTAGAGCCTGAGGAACCTTGAAGTCACCAGGAGCAAGCACATCCTGCCCAGAGTGTGGGTACTTCTCCCAGAGCTTCTAACCACAAACACAGGTGTGGACACAGATTCTGGCACCTCAGTGTATCTGTAAACAGGATTTTCCCAAGAGAATTCTTGACGTGGCAATAAGTAAACTACCACTTGAATATTTTGGCTGGAGGTGCAAAAGCCATGGTCGCCAAACTGTTCTCTACTTGAAATGAATCAAGGCAGTGGACCTAAACTGTACCAGTAGAGATTGTATTTTTCCCACCCACCCAGCTGCAAGAGAAATGACAGTTTTAGTTAAGAATGTTCTAAAAAAAGTAGAAAGAATGTCAATCATTCTTAAATCTTGAACCATGGGAGAAGCAATGCTAAAACTGAACACACTAGGACCACACTTGCATATATCAAATAAATGGTGAAAAGAATTGATTAGGCACAGAGGTATTTCAAAAGTTGTGGGAAAACATATGGGGGATTGGGTTTGATAGCTAAAAGGTAAGGGATTTCTTTTTGAGCTGATGAAAGTAATCTATATTTTATTGTAGTCATGAAAATGCCAATATTGTGGCAAACTCTATGAAAACTTTCAAATTCTAATATTTGATGGGTGATGTGAGTTATGTGAATGTCTTCCTAAAGTTTTTTTTGTAATGATCTATAGCAAAAATAGTAAGATAGTAGCAGATCATGCCTCAGATGGTTGAACAGTGTGCCACAGCCAGGCCAGTATCCCAGGAAACAGGAGACTCTGATCCGTCCAGACCAGTGCACAGAGATCAGGAGGAAGTTCTTAAAATGAATTTCAATAAGGGTACAGCTCAAAAAGGAGACACACAAGGGGCTAGTCCCATTGGTCACTGCCATAAAGCACAGCTTTTCATTAATGCAGAGAGTGGGTCTTGTTGGTGGTGTCAATTGATGATTCCCTAACGTGCTGCAACTTCTCCCACTAGAAGTCAGGGCTGGTCCTCTCATCAGGCCAACTCAGGAAGACCTTGGTCATGCTGAGGTTTTGTCCATCCTCACTGCCCAACGTCACTCAGAAAAGGAGAAAGAAACTGTCTTTAAAATACTGTTTCCAGGTTTACTTCTAGAAATCTGATTAATGGCACAGGGACCTGAAGGCTGAAAAGTAGTGCTCTATCCAAATGAGATAGGAGCGCCCAAAGTTGTCAAGAGGTACTTGATAAAAAATTGTGCCCCTGACTCTGATGGCATGGAACCTGTGTCCTATGAAGAACAATGGAGTTTGATTTTACATGACAGATCACAAACAACTTCACCTCCAATGAGTTTTGTGCATGTCTGAACTCACCCGAGTACTTTATTCCATAAATAGCACTAAACTTTGGCCTCCTTGCAATTTAATTATTCTCCTTTGCAAACTTCCCCATTTTGTTCATTGGCAAACCATGTGGTGTGTAGCTTTATTTTTTCTCATTGATTTGTAGAACTTGATTACATTTGGGCCAGCCACACTCAGTATAGGTCAGGCTGGGGTCGGGGTGGGGCCAATACTACCTATGGAAGGGTCAGAGCACTGTCAGTGGGGGGGTGGGTCTGTGTTGGGATGCAGTCAGAACCTTCAGCCTGTTGGTCCCCCAATGAGTTCCCAGTCAGAACTGTAGAGGGGGTGGGAGAGGTATGAAGTCAGGCCTTGTCCTCTCATCAGGACACCTACACAGGAAGACCATGGCCATGATGGGGATCTATCCAACGATATTGTCCATCTTCACTCAGGAGAGAAGAAAGATGCTAAGAAAAAAATTCTAGAAACCTGCTTATTTCTAGAACCCTCATTATTTTCACAGGGGGGTGAAGGCTTAAAAGCAGCTCTGCATCCAAATGAGACAGGAGGGCCCAAAGATCTCATGAGGTACTTGATAAAAAATTCTGCATCTGTTTTTGATGGCCATGGCTACCACAAATGCCTCTTGGTCATTCAGAGGCTTTTGATTCCATAGCAGTTCTCTCCTGCTGACTCTACCCTGCAGTGGCTCTACATAACTCCACCCTATGGGAACCTTCAGTAGTCCCTAGTCTGGCATGCAAGGATCCCCTCCCCAACCATGCCTAAGCAGAAATACTGTGGGTATCTTGGAAGGACACTACATGCTTGAGTTCACCTTTTTAATTCCAATAAGATTCCTTCCCCATCTCCTTATGCAAACAGTTCCTGTTCCACTTCCCCTTCTGTAGCAGCATGAGTCCTAATGAAGTCTCTAAGGGATGGGTATAGTTTGTATATTCATGACTTTCATCTCAACAAGAGCAGGTCAAGTTGGTTACACTGAAAACGGGCAAACTGGGCATGTCAGCCTGATGGTGGCAAGCACAGAGAATGCCCTAGAGCAGTGGCAAACGCTAGGTGCAGCTGTCAGATGATCTCCAGGGAAGTGTTGGAAGCAGGTGGCTACTGATCCCAAGAAGGCAACATGGGAGTTTCTATTACTAGGAGCTGAGGGTCAATCTCAGGACTATTAACACTAAGATCTGAGAGCCACCAGATAGTCCTCAGAACTCAGAGCTGTGAATACCAAGGGAGATGTGCTTTGCTTCTTTGTGATTTCTCTTCATAGCAGGCCCTCAGATGATGGGTAAGTGAGATGTTTAAGAGGCACAGATCATGAAGGAATGCACAGAGAAGATCCCCTAAACCAAGAGAGGCCTTTTCCATGGGGTGATTGAGTAGAATTTTGGGATCTTTTCTATTTTCTCACAGGATTAGGGTGAGGGCAGTCTAAATCTGGAAACAAGACCCAATAGATGGATACTTGTTCACCCTGGGTCCTGGCAACCCCAGTTATCTCCTCTCAGTTCTCACTGCATGGAATTGCACAGACAACATGGCAGAATGCAGATGCCGGAGAAGATTTTTTTTTTTTTCCTACCAAACTGCCTTTATTCCCAGTGACAGTCAAACAAGGTACAGCTTCCTACCAGGGCTTGAACACTATGACCCTCCCCTCTCAATACCCTCCCACAGCCCTCTTTCTATATTCATGATACCCTCCCACTCCCTTCATTTTCGTACAGGAACTGTCCTGTGTGAGGAAGAACCTTTGGCCCTTCCAGTGCAAAATAAAGCAAGGGTGAGATCTTGCCTGAGGGGTAGTCACCCCAGAGGTCACTGGCCAATATGACATATGACTGTCCTCAGGGCCTCTTCTTCTTTGGGTTGCCTGATGATATGCACTTCCTCTTCTGAGGCTGTGAGGTTCAAACCAGCTCCAGATCTACATCTTGCCCTCCGGTGACATGGAGGGGCAGCCCACATTGTGTGCATGTCCAGTGAGAGCACTCTTCATGGACATGGCACCTGGAGGAGGGTGGGAGCTGAGGTGTCCTCTCTGGGGACGTGGGGCCTGGAGTGCTTGACATCCTGAGCACAAGGGTTTCATTCAAGGGGCCTGGATTTGGGAGAGTCCCCAGGGCAGCAGGCAGTGCTGGGAGCTAAGAAGGAAATTCAGGCTTTGGAGGTCATCGACCACACTGCAGCCATTGGCTGTCTTATGTGGCCACCAGAAGAAATGGCTTTTCTGTGACCTATTATACCTTTGTTCCTCAGGTTTAAGGAGGAGGATCTGCAGTTCTGGGGAGGATTGTTGGAACGGATGGTCCCCAATGAGGAAGACCTATTAAAGCCTTGGAGGATAGCAGTGTCCTTTGAACCCAGCAACTCTGGCTCTGTCGCCCTGCACCTCTTCTCGATCTGGGGAGCACCTCTGTGGACTAGTCCCCATGATGGACCCTTGATCATTGCAATGTTTCCATTTCTCTGAACTTCTGTTGGCAGCTGACTCGGAAGATTTTGTATCCTATGGAGCATACCATGATCTTGAGGCATCTGCAAAGGTGCTTCTTCTCAAGCTGATGGAGGATATGGGCACTGGCCAACTCTTCTTCATACATGAAATGGGCCATAGGGATCAGGACAATCATATTTCAATGGGAGTTGGGAAGTAGGGCTGTCACTCATCTTGGTCTCAGAGAGACAGACTGAGTGTCTGCTGGTCACCCTCCTGGGCTTCCTTTCTGCTTGATATCCTGAACCTACCCATAGTTGTCCTGTCTTGTTCCTTTTTTACCTCCTACATCCTATTCCTGGAACAGACTCACTCAGGGAGACATCACAGACAGGATAAGGTTAAACAAAGTCCCATGGGCCACATGAGTAAGATCCTGAGCCTTCCTCATCTACCTGTTATCCCTTGCTTCCCTCTGTATCTGTGGCCACTCCCTTTTCTGTCTACTTGTGTACATTTGACTCCTAGTCTGCCATGTATCACTCTCTGCCTTACTCACTTTGTGTCTGTTACCAAGCCCCGGGAAACCTGTTTTCTTTACCTACTTAGTTCGACCTGGTGCCCCGTTCTTGTTGTCTACCTTTTGTTTCTCCCCAACCCCTGTTGATCCTGGTGTCCCTGCACCTGTTTATCAGGTGTCTCTGCCACTCTGGTGTATCTCCTATCCCTAGTCTACTGGGAGACCCTCCTTCCTCTGTCTACCTGATCAGTAGTGAGTCCTTCCTGCTGCTCCACCACTTTGTTAGGGCCAAGATATTAATATTTATATATGGTTTAGAGGAAAGTAATTCTTTAAGAAAGTGGGGATGAATCATATTCTCTGCCTGGGGATGAGAAGGAAGAGAGTGTGAGTGACCTTGGGAGGAAATGGCCCCAAGTCAGGAGGATTTCTAGGAGAAAGAGGAAGCAATGTTGATACCATGTTCATCTACACCATGGGGTGGTTATATCCCAACTACCAGCTATACTTATTTACAAGTGTACATGCATGTGCAAATACTTTCTCTCTCTCTCTCTCTCTCTCTCTCTCTCACACACACACACACACAGACACACACACAAATCTGATATTCTAAGCTATGTAGCTCAATTCCATGGGTCCTGAAACCTTGTATACACCAAGTTTGTAGGCCCAGCCCACCTTGTTGACAAAGTCCTCATCAACATAGCTCAGGAGACTTAGACCTGGATATAAATTATCCTGTATTGGCTGTTGCTCCAGTCCTTCCTCTCCCAAGTTTGAAGCAAGCTCTCCTATGGACAAGTGGGAGTGCTCCTACTTGGCAAAATTAGTAGGCCCGAATAGCTCATCTATGATGTCCATGTACTCTTGGATGGCTTCAGGTGGGATCTCCTCGGGCACCTTGATCTCAGGCCCTTTGGTCTTGGCCACCTTATTCTTGTGCACCTTGGTCTAGCATGCCTTTGTATCAGGTACCTTGGTCTCTGGTGCCTTGGGTTTGGCTGCTAAGGAGCAGGCAGGCTGTGCCTTAGAGTTGGTCTTTCTGGAGGTGCACACTAGGAAAGGGAGGACCATAGTGGTGCATGAATGAGGGATCCATGTTCATCCCAAACACTTGGTAGTAGGCAGGGTTCAGGGGACCTAACCTGGTATGTCATGCATGAGGACAACCTGACCCAGGACCCAAGGGAGGTAACAGTGCACCAGATGCAACATCTAGGAGAGTCAAGTGGGAGGACATGGTATTGCATGCACTCTACCGTAACATGACTTAAGTCCCAGGCATCTAGTGTGTTGATTCTTTGGATAGGCAAGGAGAGAAATGAGATCTGTATTTGGCCCAGTCAGTACACAGTTCAAAGCTGGGTGGCAGGGACCTCAGGTGTTAGGGGCTGTTTTGCTTGTAAGACTGAATCTCCCATACTGAAGGAAAAGTTCTTATTTGGGACAACAACTTGCCTTGGCCTTTTTCACTGTTTAGACACTATCATGGACTACTGTGGGAATGTGGGAACCCTTCCTGGCTGTTGGACAGCCTCAGGGACTGGAGGCCTTGGAAGTTCCAGCCTTGGAGTTTCAGGAGGAAGTTGGCACTGGAAGACCCCTGACAACTGCATCCTTGGATCCTCCATCTCCTCTGCAGCCTCAAACTCCATGGAACTTTGTGGGATTTGGGTAAGGCAGGCAAAGGCTGAGCTGAAAATCAGGTTAGCCATACCAGGCATGTGCTGGTGTGGGATTCCAAGCTATGGAGTATTCTAAATTACCAGTCAGGATCTAGTGGCAGGGATGTGGAGCTGTGTCCTGGAGTGGGCTGGACAAGTGCCAGGAGGGAGCTGCTACACAGGAAGAACAGAGTTCTCGGGAAACACTATATCAACTAGCATTTGAAGGGAATCAGATCTGAGGGACCCAGGCAAGGCCCCTAGCTGACCCTTGCTCTGGCTCTCTCCTATTTCTGCAAGGAAGCACATGATCAGATAAGTTCCTGAAGCAGGTCAGGGATGTGATTTTTATTAGGGAACACCAGGTGTCCTGACCCAATTCAGGCATAATGAGGCTGGGACCATTAGCCCTGGAAAGATCACCTAGGAGACCAAGGTTACAGGTCATGTGGAAGTGGAAGTTAAACTGAGAACCCCAATTGATTGCTTCTAGTGAGAGCTCCTTTTCCCCATCCCTTGTTATAAAGGCAGGGATTACATAGAGCATAAGCAGTAAAGACCAGACATGTCCTTGGGGCATCTGGGGTGCTGGCTGCCCCTGACCATGCACTCCCCACCCACTGCCATCCTCTTCTGGAACATCAGGTTGAAGTAGTGGCCACTTTCATGAGTTATGATCGGCCCCACTCCATAAAGAGGTACAAGTTCCCAGGCAGGTGGCCTGAGTGAATCCAGAGCAACTTTTCCCTTCTGCAGAGCCAGCAAAGCAGAAGCAGACACTCTGGCTGGGCTGGTTACTTCTCCCCATCCTGACCCTGAACCTCAAGGCAGAGTTGGAATCAGGAGTATGGAGCCTGGAGTTTCTGGGATTGTTGCAGAGAAAATGCCCAGGCCTCCAGCTGGAGGGAGCTGCTATTTGGAGAGTTAGATGCCTCAGAGCCAACACACAGGTAGGTGACAGGCTGTACCAGACCTTACTGTGCAAACCATGATCCCCCACCAGTAGATTTTGGACCCTGAAAACTGGCTCACGTTTCTGCAGACTCATAGAAGATCATTCTGTCAAAGTTGCTTGTGCACTGCCATTCCTGCAAACCCTTCAGCAGGCCCTCTTCCATGGTTATGGTGGGCTCCCATTGGGACAGAGATGGAAGCACTGGGCTGGAATTCATCAGGATTAGTTTCCATAAGATCACTCTCCTTTATAACCTAACCAGACCAACATACATTTCTACCGTTGTTACATTTGCCCCATCATGTTCAACTCAAAGTATTGATATTGGGACTCCAGGACACTTATACCAAACATTAACAGCAAGGGGTGCACTGGCCAGCATGATTGTGCTTGGATTCCTCAATGATATGGTGTACTATGTGCTGAATGTTTTATCCTCCCAAATTCACCTGTTGAATCCCTAACCCCCACAGGATTATATCTGGAGATTGCATTTAGTGCTTAGAGGGTTAGATGAGATCCTGAGGATGGTGCTTCATGAGGGCATTAGTGTTCTTCCTGGAGAAGGGGGAGACACTGAAGAGATATAAGTCATGTGAGGCCCACATGAGCCAGCTGTCTTTTGAAGCAAGAAGAGAGAGCATTTATGGGACTTTAGGTCAGGTACCCTTTACCTGGGAATCCTGACTCAAGAACTGTGAGAAAGAAATGCCTGTGTTTCTGTCCACATTTTCCATAGCATCATGTATGGTGGCCCAGGCTGACTGAAGACAGTGCACAGAATGGCCTGGGAGCAGTTACAAACTGGGGCAAAGTTGAACATGCCCATGCAGTATCCAAAGACAGCTTCCCCTCGAGTGTGACATCACCAGAGGGTCCCAATCAGGAGTTCATGACAGTGTGTATGGGTATCCATAGAGTTCTCTGTTGGGGCCAGCACCCCTAAACCTACTTGTGGTTGTGGTGTCCCCTGTGCCACAAACAATTAAGTCTATGTTGGAAGGTGAAATGACTGGGAGAGGCATGGAGTCAGACAACTTCAATTCCTGGCCCACATTACTCCCAGGAACCTCCTCTGAACTTGAGTCCTCCATGTGATGGTGATGATCATTGGAAATAATGACTACCTGCATGCACAGGCCTGTGATGGGCACCTGAGATAAGGCACATTTTATTCTCTCCTGTGAGGTGAATATGTCTGGAAATGTAGGTGACTCAGCTTGTCCCCTCACCCTCAGGACATTTCTTCAAGTTCCCCTACATCCCAGCCTCCTCTTTCCAACCCATGCTTTTCCTCCTCACAGAGCTCAAGGAGGAGTCTGAGGAGAACACTCACACGAGGAAGCAGGAAAGTGCTTCCACATCAGGAGTCTGAGGAAGGTGCCTGCAGACCAGTGTCTTGAAGCGCTGCCAGTGCTGGAAGTTCTCATAGACGCTGTGAGGTCTGCTGGAGTCATCTGGTGGCACTGCAGCCGGGAAGGTGGGTGGTGTACCCTCCCCATGCACTGTACCTGGCCATTGGCACACATTCATTGGGAATATGATAGAACCAGCTGGGCAAATGGTCTTGGTGATAGAGGCAGAAGGCCCAGGTGCCAGTGGATCCCATAGTTCTGGATCCTCCCACTGGCTGAAGAAGGCACAGTGGCCCTCAGGACAGAAGGTGCTTCTATGAATGGAGCAGGTTGCTCCACACCCCCACAGTTGGCCTCCGGGGCCCTCCAGTTGAGGGGTGCCTGAGTGTGGGCAATATTCTGAATATGAGGAGGCCCTGCTGGCCTCAGATGTGGCCCATGTTTTCCAAAGGTTAAGAGCCCTGGCACATATGATTGTCCGGGGTAAGCAGGCAGCACCAGAGAGTTACCCTAAGAGATGAGTGCAGTCACCCTTAGTGCCAGGAGCAGCTCCCAGAATGGCTGGTATGTTGGCACAGGGGCAGCTGGAAGAAAGGGTAGGCCCCTGAATGCAGACATGTGGTCACCAGGATTGAAGTTCATGGCTGGTCTCCATGATGCAGATGCTGTGGAGGCAAAGCAAAGGGAACAATGGGGGAGGGGAAATGGCAGCAGGATTGAGGCCCCCCAGTTACTTATACAGGGGGAATCCGAGGACAAATGCTCACAACCCAGGGCCCTGTGAGCAGGGAAATTGTGCATTTTGCAATATCCCTGAGTGAATTTCATGCTGTGTTCTCTTAGTCATAGTAATACATAGAGAAAACTCATTTCCAGGACACCAGAATTCCCTGTTTTCTGAGACACCTAAGCTTTTCCTGCCTCTGGAAGGCCCTTTGTGCATCCTTTGCAGACAGTACATTGGCCTCCTAGGTGACTCCCTAGAAGTGGACCAATTTGACTCTGCTCAGTAGCACCATGCCCCTTCTCATGCAGGTTCTCTAGGGTCATTTGGGAAGATGACTGTTTCTAAAGGTTATTGCTCCAACACCTCCTCAGCCTTGTTTTGCTAATACTCCTTGTATATCCCTCCACTTTTTTCCTGGGCTTCCACAAACAAGCGAAAAACACCTGAATTAGATCTCTGCCTAGCTAGAGGCTGAGGAATCCTGTAGTTCACCCAGAAGCACATCCTGCCCAATATGCGGGTGCTTCTCCCAGCACTTCCCACAGAAAATACTAATGGGGGGACAGATTCTGGCCATCTGTGTCCACAGTGTTCACTGATTCCTGCCATGATACAGGAAATTCCATTCCCAGGGAAGAGGTCTATGTGATAGGCACTGAGTTCCCAAGATCCTCTCCTGGGCTGACCAGTAAAGGCCACTGAGGTTTATGAAGTTGATGGGATGGTGAGGATTGGGTTTTCCAGAGACTTTCACAGCCACTGGATTTTTTTTTTTATTGGGCCTGGAAATTGGAGCCATTCTAAGGTCCTTTACTTTGTGTTCCCAATAATGGGAAGGAAAGTGTCACAGAGACTCAGGCCTGTGACAACCTTGCCAACCTGTGGCAAGGTTGTTGGGATTACATCCCTGTTCACCAGGACATTATGCAGAGTGTAGTCAAGGAATGGGAGGTCCGCCACACTTCAACACTTTCATGTTTAATCAGGAAACCTGCTTAAGTTCAAATGACAGTTTGAATAGGGACCCATCTTATAACTTTAGGCTATTTTCCTTCTTGTCTTCATAAGAACCCAAGTCATCTTCAAACCCGATCTTGGAAAATGAAGACCACATGTGCTCCCTTTTCAAGGAGTACAAACCAAATCAGGAAGCTAAGCAAAGTCTTTGTGTCAATGTAAAAACAATTTCACAGAGTGTATGAAAGTGATAATGATTCAGAATACCTCACAGAGGCCCAAGTATATGGTGGGTGAAGTTTCCTGGGTTCCCTGCCCTTCAGGAATCAAGGACACCTGGTGTCAGAATTGACAGAGAAGTTTTCCTGGGCAGGAGGTTGGTGAGGTGTCCCGGGCTATGGCAGTTGGAGTGCCCTGCAGCCTCACCCACAGAGAGTATATCACTGCATTTGTGGTCATTGAGAACCCCACTGGGCAGTTTCCTAGCTAAGAACATTTCTATCCATTGCCCAGTTACGATCTAAGACTCTCTGTCAATACCCTCAGAATGATATCCCAGGCAGCTTTCCTGTATCTGAAGAATGGACAGAGGGCTCAGCATCTCAACTCCAGGGAACCCTAACTGACCACCAATGTGACACCATCTGTGACTGCCTAAAATCCATGCAGTGACTTGTGTCCATTCTACAAGGAATCAATCCCTTGGCCACTCAATGCCTGCAAGAAAGACACCCTATTCTGGGTATCATCTCCAGGTCTCTGGAAAGAAACATATGGCTCTGGGGCTGATTC